ACTACATTTTTGTAGCATTTGGTTCAACCACAGCCAAATCTCTTGGAGATAAGTTGTTTCAACTTATTCTGAAAACTGCTAGCCATCTTGGAACGACAACGTGTAGATATCAAACCAACGTAACGGGCAAAGCGGATTCTATCAAAATAGGATAAATAATTACCTGCCTCACGCCATAACAGATGATATCTTCCTGTAGGCCCAAATCCTGGTTAGAAAAATTGTAAGAGAAAATCCTTAATAAAGGCTCTCTCTATACTCCAACCAGACACCAACTTAGTTCCTCCTAATCCGAAAGGAAAATAAAGACGGGCAAACTTGGTGCTGAAGACAAGAATGTAAAAATTAGTCTTAACCTTCAATATTTCAATTTTAGACCTAATCTGTAACAATTTATTCAATTTTCTAATTGACTCAGGGGAGTTGTTAGTTTACCAAATATTAAACAAAGAAATGTTGCTTGTGTTTATTTTAAACTTTCTAGCATATGCAATACAACATTTCTTTTTTTAATGCCTTAATATTCATTTTGTATATTTATTTAAATATTTTTATATATATATAAAATCGGTTGAGAATAATTTATTTGAAATTCTTGGGACTGGAAGTTCCTTGGTTTTCAGATTTTTGTGGATTTTGGAATACAAGCTATTTGTATATACCATCTATAAAATGAGGTAGCTTGGGAATTAAACCCAAGCATAAACACAATATCCATTTACATTTCATAACACAGCTTATACATATACTCTGAAGGTAGTTTTATATGAAATCTAATAAATTTTGTGTATAAACAGATACAGAAAATGATGCTAGTCATGTAATGCTCTCATGGATTTTTAAGTGGTAAAATTAAGATTTCACATAAAAATAATGTTTTGTACTATCTGTACATGAACAAAAAACATGATCATTACTTACAAAAAATATATAAATTAAGGACTTTCACAATTTAAATATCTTTACTGAGCATGAAACACCTAGTTAGTAATCTACAAATGAAGGTGTTGCTGTGACAATCACTAACAAAAAACTGACATCAACGTAGGCTACATAGCTGGGCTGGGAACCCCACACCCAGGGCAGATGAAGTCACTTACAGCAGATACACATCACCTAGGAACCTTCCCAGTGTTTTCTGAAATTTTCCATTTGTGGCAAATCATGTCAGCACCTGGATTTGGGATTTTTGGATAAAGGATACTCAACCTATATATTTTTAATCATTCCCTCCCCACCTCAAGGAAGGTGATAAAGCCACTAAGATGCAAGGAGTTACTGAAAGTGAAAAAAATGAGAAAACATTAGTGAGGAGAAAGGACAATAGAAGGACAGGATTAACTATTGAAGAAAGATGACAATTGATGTTGCATTTAAATTTTTGAAGATTGTAGTTGGCTAGAAAAGCAAGAAGCTGGAAGATTTTTTTATCTAAGTATAAACCTTTACATCAAATTCATATTGGGTATATTAGATTGGAAATAAACACAAGAAGTCTTAAGGAGCTCCTGGAAGTTAATTATTCTTAAAAGTGAAGAAACACTGACACTATTTCATATAATAAGTATATATTTATAGGGTCAACAATATTGAATAAAAATACTATAAAGTCATAAAAACACCTACTAACAAAAAACCCCAAAATTTAACATTTTCATATATAATCGCTTTCTCCCTTGATTCTGGTTTTTCTCTACCAAACCCTAACTGATAAAAAATATGGCAGGCAAGATCCTTGTAACATTCCCATCATCATCAAACCTTCAGGGAAACTGAACCATTTTTTCCACTTCTCAGATTTAAAGCTAGCTTAATAAAATAACTATTTGGACCTCTTCCTTCTCCCCCATTTCAAGATGGCATCTGTTCACTTGATAGTCTGGACATTGACATCTTTTCATGTTGCTAATGTCTGCCAACTCATTCATGTAGAATAAAGAATCAAAAGAGATATGGGCAATCAAAACAACATGGGCTCCTTCGATTGCACTGCACACAATACATGCTCACAGTAATATAAATATATTTATCTGAAACTGCACATATATATATATATATATATACACACACACACAATGTGTGTATATATATATATATATATATATAATACCCATCTATGTACTCCTGTCTGCACATTGATATACACACATTAACTGATGACTTATGCATACTCATGGTTGTATATTTTTCCATGTATGCTCAAATACGTACACAGTACCTTCTTTCATATAAAAATGTAAAATAGTAGATATATATTTTATATAACATCTTTCAAAGATCTTAAATTGAATTTCTTTCTTATATAACTATCTGCATATCCGCTTTTGTTCAACTCTGCTTTCCAAACATCATTCTATCTCTTTCTGTGTTTCTCTCCTCATCTGAAGCAACTTCTTCCCATTATGAAGCAAAAACTGGAGACTAAATAGTATCAGAAAAAGAAAAAAACTAAATGCATAAAAAAGACTGATTGCTGTCACTTGAAAGCAAAATCAACAAAGACATTTCAAAATAAATCCTAATGGAACCAACTTTGATTTCTTAAAAAAAAAAAAAAAAAAAAAAAAAATGAACACTTTTTTGAGACAACAATCAGAAAATGACATTAGTTCAAAATGTTATCAAATGTTGCAATATAATAAGAACATTGTGAATAGCCAATGTTCATTGTTTTAGTGGTAAGATATAGAAAAGTTACAACTTCTATAGTTGCAACTAATAGTTCTTACTTTATTTTAATAACTGAGTATATTAGTAGGTTCTTTTACTTTTTATTCAAAAGTAGAGAGAGGGAGAGAAAAATAAAGTCAAATCATAGATAAGGTTTCCTCATTTCAACAATGGAGTTGTAGCACTTCATCCACACACCTTATAGACACTGTGCACTAGAAAGGCTAAGACAAGGTAACCTCATCTCTCTCTCTGTAAGTCCCTGCGTGTGTATCTACACACACACATTTTATTACAAACATTTTTTTTTTAGTAGGTTAATGTGTTTCAGTTGTTATCCCTGTTTTTTTTTATTTTCTTAAACAGTGAAATTAATAACAACTGATCAGGAAGTCCAACTAAGGAGAACTTGCAACACTTGTCAGGAATTGAACTTGTATCAATTTTTTTCATTTCTATAGAAAAAAGTGGTTTGAAAGTAAAAACCACATCTGATGGAAAAATGGATACAGGTTATAATGGATGATTGGAGGTTCACATAACTCTTTAGTATTCAACACGTTATAGTCAAAGTCTCACTGTCAGTGTTATTTGTGTTGTCATATATTATAGCAGAATATACACAATGTGGGCTTGGGTGGGTTTAATGCTCAGGGGGTTAAGGTTCTTTGCTCTGACAGAGCTGTCACCACAAGATTAATCAAAAGCAGTAAGTTAGTTTATGCAGCAAAACAAACAAGGAAAAACCCAAAAAAAAAAAAAAAACAATAAGGAAATATATATTTTGAGAAAAGTACTCAAACAGCATAACTAAAAAATACCCATTTATCATAAAAATCATAGTAGTTACTTTTGAAAACCAAGTTACTAATACAACGAACCAGATCATATATATATAAAAAAATTTTTATTATACATATTTTTTTAATTATAATATTATGCTCTACTGTCTATTAAGCACTATGCTACAAAAAATTTAATTAAACTACTTGCTTTTTTAATTTTTTCTAGAGTTAAGTAAGAGTAACGAGTTCACTAATAGGAAGAAAAATTGTGTTTTTCATAGTTTCAGCAATATTTGCAACAATTAGAAAGAACTTAATTTTTTTTTCCTCTAAAATATTTAATCTTAAACATTTATATATAAAAAAAGCATAAAAATAAAATATACACTCACATAAGTATATGGTTCTCCTCTGGTACTAAGAGAAAAAGCAATGGAAAAGATGCTTCATTCCTTCTAAATCACTATATTTAATAGTTACAAAGCATTAACCAAGAAAGATTAACTACTGCTACTGGATTATTAAAGAAATATTCTCTAATAATAATAAAAACATTACTTTATATATTTATCAGTCATGCAAGCTGAACTTCCCTCATAGTAATAATATTTTGTTGTGAATGTATCATTCATTACTTGATAAACTAAACATGCTTTGTGTTATCATAATAACAGAATATTACATTAACAAATCATGCTAATACATAGATTTTTCTTTTTGTTTCAAGTTAGCCTTCTTTGGATATTTTTGCCTTTTTATAATTTGACAAACAAAATTATTTCTTACATGCAACAATAATGGTAATTGTATAGCTAAAAAGCCTAGATTAATCCTACAGAACATTTAACCAATACAACTGCAAAAATTAGTCTTTTTTTTTTTTTACAGTATCCATAAATTAGTGTTAACTTAAATGTCATGCAAGATTGTGTAACTATCTTGATATTACAAAATTAAATAACCTGACCAAATTAAAATAAGCATCCCTATCTTAATTTTTTTTGTTCTTGTTAATCATTTCACCCCAAGCAAGGTGATAAAGCCACTAAGGCTCAAATGTCTAGTGAGAGTGAAAGAGACCAAGAAAATGTTATTGAGGAGAGAGATGACAAGTGAGCAGAATTCAAGTAGACAGAAGATGACGAGTGATGTCACATTTAAATTTTTGAAAATCAAAGTTGACTGGAAAGCAAGAAGCTGGAAAAGAGTTCCATAGGCGAGAAGTGCAAGAGAAGAAACTATTAGCATAGAACTTAGTAATTTCAACAGGAAAATGATGAAACCTAGTTACCAATTTAGCACTTAGTGTAAATTTGTGAAGTTGAAGTACCAAAGATGAAAATTGTAAATTTTTTTTAAGATACTGAATTTACTGATTAACCCATAGTTTCCTACTAATTAACCCATAGCTAGGGGGAAGAAGTGGTGGATTCATACCTTTCCCAAGTGTATTTTCACATAAGTTAATATAATGAACTTGACTAGCTCTCCAATTTCCAGATTATAAACCATTATCCATTACACTACCTATACATCCAAGATTATAACATCTGATATTCCTAAGTGGTCATCCATCTACGTACTGACCAGGCTTGACATTGCTTAACTTTGGTGATCATATGAGAACCAGTGTTTCAATATGATATGGCCATAAGCCTAAAGAGAGAAAAAAATTATCAGAAAATGATACATATGCTATCAGTTTGACAATATCTAAATTAGACTTCAATTGATTTTTCTAAGAAAAATCAAAAGGATTGAAGCAGCAGAAAATTTGATGCAATTGTGCTATGATTTCATGATATATAGGCCACTATATTTAGATACACTTTGGAGCAATATCATTTTAACATTACAAAATATTTTTTAGCCTCAAATCAATATAACATTATTTTGTAGCTATATTTTTCTTCTATGTGTCATGTTCCTTCAAGACATTGACAATCATTCCCAGTTCAAGCTTGTTAGTTAGGTTATACACTGTTTTTGTCTGTCCCTCTTGCCTTCAATACCTCCTGTATCAAATTCTCTTTCCTCATTATGTACCCAAGAAATTTAAACTATCTCTTCCTGATGTTAAGTATAAGTGTCCTTTTTGTTTCCATTGTCTCTAGAACTTCATTGTTACTCACATGTTCAGTCCATGTTATTCTAAGCATCCTTCTGTAAAACCACATTTCTGTTGGTTTAAGCCTGCTCTTCATCTGTGATGAGATGGTCCAGCATTCACTACTATAGAGGCAGATATATTATGCAGCTTATAATTATCAAACTGTATTAGGCTATAAATATATTGTTTTTAATAATTTCTGTACATACTTTTAAAAAGTAACACATTTGGCAATGAAAACTGGACATATTCCTTACAGATGAAAGAAGACCGGAGGTAAAATACATGGTTCTACAGAAGGATGCTGGGAATACCATGGACAGAACATGTAAGTAATGAGGAAGTTTTAAGGAAAATGGAAACAATAAAAGGTAAGTAATACTTAAAATTAGAGAGTTAAAATTTCTGGTATGTTACAAAAAAAGAAGGCCTGGAAAATTTGACAATCACTAGACATGTTGAATGCAAGAGGGACAGAAGGTAGCAGTGAATAACCTACCTAACAAGCTTATGTAAATAGATGGTAGAAAAGGGATTAAGAGGGATAGTAAAAAGAAAATTATTGCAAGTAGCTAGGAAGAGTAGGAAGTTGTGAAGAGTCATGATCACCTATATCCTGAATAGACATGACACATAAAAGAAGAATACTTATAAAATTATTTAAAACAATTGCAAGAGTGTAGATTAAAGAGAAATCAAATTCAAAGTTTTGACTATTAAAATGAGCATAGTATCATTTTCTTTGAATACACATATTTTATTTTCACAATGAACAAAACAAATACCTCTATCCAATTGTCTAATACAATCACCTCATATGAGACAGAGGTGCACTGTTGAGTTTGTTTGGAAAGAATTTTGGGTAGTTAAAGGAAGCCATTGACAGTATGGAGAAGGTAATAAAATGTTCATTAATTTCTGAATAGAACTAAATACTTTTCTGTTTTGAAAACAGGCAAGGATTTTAAATGATAGAGAATGAAGCTAGTATGACACTTTTCCAATTGATCCATAACTGTTGATTCCAATCTAGTTTGGGAATGACTGCAAAACACTTTCCCCTTCCCAATTTATTGGCAGAAGCACACAAAAGCATGCTGGGATTTTTTCTTAGCCAATAAAATAGGAAGGTTCTCAGTTTCATCTGACTCAGTTCTGATCTGTCTTGTTTTGAAGTCAGAACACTATGATCACTTTTCTGAATTTGCTTTTGTGTGTCAGCCCCAATTCTTAGTTTGTGAACTTTTTGCTTTATAACTATTAATTTGCTTTGCATAAATTGTTTGCTTACTTTATATTATTTTTTGCCCTGTTATTTTCTTTTCTTTTTCTTGTTATTGCAAACTTTGTCAATTCTGTTACTTATTTTACATTTGACCATGGCTACTCATGCCACATTAACACAGAAACTGAACACCTTTCTACACTATTTACATTGTTTGGACTGTTGTCCTCATCTTTATTGCCATATTCACATTTCTGCCATTGTATGCTCCAGCATTCTACAGGTGATATACATTAGAATTTTGAACCAAACCCGTTATTTCACCCACAGGAGTAGATTATTCTTATTCCACATGCAAAGCTTTTTTTGGATATCCCAAGGTCACATGACCCAGTGGATAAAAGTGTTAGTTGATTGATCCAAAGAGTTTCAAATTTCAATATCTGGCCACAGCAAAGAGAAAAAACCTGGAGAGTTAAGTTACTAAATTAATTGAAACTGAGGTCCAAAAAAAGGTATGGCACCTGGAATTAGAACAATTTACTCCTAGGGATAAAATAAAGGGTTTGGTTCAAAATTCCAATGTATATCACCGGTACAATGACCAAAACATCATTAGTATAGCAATGAAGATGAGGACAACAGTCAAAATGATGTAAATTGTGTAAATAGTTACAATACCTCAACTCAGAAATATAGACAGATGTTGGAGATCTCTAATTAACTGGGTAGAGAGCAAGAGAGTTAATGCTTTTGCTATAGTGTGAATCCAGAATTTAATTTTTACTACCTTTGTTAATTTTGTTTTTAATATCCTATTTTAGCAATTTTCTCCAGCCAGTTTATTACAATGCTGCTGCTTCTCGGTGTCATGTCTCTTTAGGACATTGGGGAACATAGCTCTCCACAATGTTCTGTCCTTTGTAGATCTCAATAAATTGTCTTTTTGTTATCTCTCCTAACCCCTGTTCTGTCATCCATTTACTCAAATTGGCTAGGTAGGTTATGCATTGTTTTTCTCTATCTCTCTAGCCTTCCTGTGAAGTATCAAATTTTTCAAGCCTTCTTTCCTCGTTATGTGCCCTAGAAATTTAAACTCTTTCTGATTTTATGTGTAAGTGTCCTTTTTGTTTCCTTTTCCTCTAAAGTATTGTCATTGCTCACATGTTTGGTCCATGGCATTCTCCGTATCCTTCTGTAAAAACAGATTTCTGATGCTTCAAGACTCCTCTTTATCTGTGGAGATTGTCCAGCATTTGCTGCCATATAGGAGGATTGATATTATGCAACATTTCTTTTTTTCTACAAATTTTTTCTGTTTCTTAATACTTTGTTTAGCTTTTGAAAGGCATCTTTCACTATTCTAATGCACCTTTGGAGTTCAGTGTCACACTTTCCATCCTCCGTTAAAACACTTCCCAGATATTTAATTTGTTGTGCTTGTTTGATATTGGTATCTCTAATTTAAATGTCAATAGCCTGACTTCTTAGGACTTTCAGTAAATGAAGACAAAAAATAGTAACAGAATAACAGAATGACTAACAAAGAATGTTTAGTAGACTATTCTATAACTTCAACAACCAATATACATTAAAGAATGCCTTTATCTCTAATAACTTTTGACAATCATAAACTTCACATACTACAAGCATGCAAAGAGTCTTTCAAAAGACACTTGATATAAATAAGGTATCCTACAACAAGAAATTTCAAAGCTGTAACAAATGCTATGAACAGCCATGACTTTCAACACAAACACCACTGCAACCAGCAAGAAATGAGTTCTTTAAAAAGTGTTAATATCAATTCAGATTCTGTTCCAAAATATGCCTTGGGCAGGATTCTCTATTTTGTACAATCCTAGCATTCCCTACTGATAACAATGGTAGTAGCAGTAATGTAAGCAGCAGCAAGTGGAATATAATGGAGGTTTTGGTGATAGCAGCAGCTGAGGTAGGAGTTGTATCACTATTAAGCATCAAGGCAGCAGAGGTATATCTTTTGTCCATTCTAACTGACCTGTAATTGCACTGTTACCATAAAACTAGCATTCCGAATGGTACAGGTACTCAAAACCAAAAGTGTGGGAAGTAGATAAGAAAGTCTATAACCCTATTATGCATGGCTGACACATAACTTTATATAAATATACACACATACATGGACACTGTGTGTGTGCATTTCTTTCTTCTTTTCACATTATAAAATTGTATATTAAGCTTGAGGTACTGTGTTGAAGTTGAGCAGTTCTCTATAAAGAGTCTTATATCTATTATGGAAGAGAAATAGTAAAAGGCAGAAAAGAGGTGGGGTGCAAAAATGTCAATGTATACAAATGCTAACATTTACCAGCTTAAAAAAAATTCTAGATTTTTTGATGCAATAATGCATCTTGAATATTTACAAAGGGATGGACAAAGTCTGTTGATGCAGCTTTCACATGAGGAAGCTAACTGCCAGAATTTAGGGTTGGCCATTATTTTCAATGCACAAGAATGTATTAGTATATGATATTTATAGATTATGATCCTCATGACCAAATAGAATAAAAACAATTATGTTTGTGAATGTAGTGCTTAAAACTTAGAATGATGGTAGATATAAAGCTTTATCTTCAGTGTATGGTTAATAAATCTTGTTAGTAAAAGTTGATCTAGAAATAAGAAAACTAACTTCCAAAGTCAGAGTTACTTCCTTTATTTAAAGTCCTGATGAATGAGAAATTTCTGAAAGTAAAAGTTATTGAACATTATTATGTTATTACTTTATATATGTTACCACAAAGATTATATATATATATATAAAATCTCACACATTAAATACTGGTATTAATAAAACAGTATTCAATGTTTAATAACGAATAATCACCTGACAATTGCATTGTGCATGAAACTCAAGAGTTGTGTTAACAGTAAGGAAAAAAAATGTGTGTATTTACAGGGTGTCCCAAAATAATGTATACACTCTTTAAATATTAATAGTTAATACATTTTTTTTATATATGGATGAAAATATGCAAAACAGATGGATTGGAAGAAGAGGGACAGTTGAATACCCATATAGATCACCAGATTTTACACCCTTGATCTTCTTTTAGTGGGGGTTTCTAAAAGAAAGTCTACAGCAAGAAAACTGAAACAATTGCTGAAATGAGAGTAGCAATTGAAGAAGAATGTGCTCAAATACTAGAGGAAGTAATATTGGACATTTGTAGGTTTATTACTTCAAGATATGAAAAGTGTATTGAACAGAACGGCAACCAGTCTGAGCACATGATGTGAACTCATATGAACATTCTGCCATTGCCCCAAATAGCTT